AGGACGGGTTGGGGGTTGGTGGCTGGGGCAGTCATTTAGTGACCTCATCCCTGGTCTCCGGCGGGCGCGCTTGCAGAGAGAGCCTTCTTTGATGGCTCGCAACACGCCCCCCTCCCCCAGGTCCTAGCGCCCAGTGTGTTAGGGCTGGGTCCGCTGGGGCAGGAGTGATCCGATTGTCCAAGCATGCACGTCCGCCTGGCCTTTCGACCCCCATCCTCTGACCCTCAGTTCTGTCCAACCCTCCCCGCGACCTCTTGCTCTTCAAAGCGCCTTTGTCAGACCTTTCTTCTTCGCACCTCTTTGTATGTGTACGGATGGAGGGATGGGTGGGAGGTTGGAAGAAACCTCTCCCTTTTACTGCTGGTCCCCTCGCCTACGGACACTTTGGGTGATGGGGATATCTCGGAGGCAGAGCTGAGAGGGCATCTGGGCCCAGGCTTTTGGAAGCCGAGGTGCAGGTTCCCAGATGCCTGGGTGCAGGACCTTGGCACGGAGCCAGGCTAGCTTGCCTGGCACTGCCGTTCTCTTGTGGGCACAGCCAGGCCCCGCCCTCTCAGAGGCTTGGACAGGCTTAGGGGAGCAAAGCCAGCCGATGCTGTGGGAACCGACTCCCCGGGAGAAAGCCCAGGCAGGCTGGGCAAGACTTCTGAGCGCAGGGATTTCATACATGATTCTCCCCGCCTTTTCCCACCCTCCTCGCTCTAGGGAAGGAGGACTTCTGGAGTCAAGAGTCTCTGACCTTATGAGGGAGAGCAGCAGCAGCCAGAAGGCTCCAGGTCATCAAGGCCTGGGGCAGTGAGGGAAGGGATCCCTCCTCCCTGCTCTCTAGAAGTAGAGATTGGCACCAGAGGCACGGGCCAGCACAGTGGATCCTGGGCATTTCTTCCAGCCTGGGTGTGGCCTGAATAGGGGTGCCCTTCCCCTCGCTGAAAGCACCTTTCTTCCAGGTCCTCAGGGGCAGAGCCGGGAGGAAAGGGAACCATCCCCCTCACTTTTGTAATTTCTGTCACCTGAGCTCAGGTGACCAGCTCAGGCCTGAGAGAGGAATGGGAGCAGAGAGGGTTTTATTGAAATCAGGTACGAGTCCTCTGGGAAGAATCCTCTTTGGGGGCAGGTGGAGTTGCTGTGGTTCCCTCATCCCCAGGACTCAGCAGGCATTCAGTCCTAAAGTGGGCACTGCCAGATGCTTCCCCCCACTCCCCACCCCTGCTGTGAGCCACTGCCTCCTGTTGTCATGGCAACTAGGAATTAGGGTTTTATCCAGCAGCACATGCCCAGGAAGGCAAAGGGAAGAAGGGTGGGGGGTAACCCCCTGCCCTCTCCTGGGAGAAGGAGGGAGCCCATCCTAGCCTGGGGAGGCCCTGGAATGGAAACTGGGGCTGTAGACTCCATGCCTGGTTCTGCCCAGAGCACTTGGTCTCCTTGTTCCAGCTCTGAGCTAAGAAAGGGAGAGAGGAGAGAGAGCCAGCCAGAGGGGCCATGGAGAGGTACATGTAACTTCTGTCAGCCCCCCAGATAAATGTCTGTGAAACATCGACGCTTTGGTAGGCCTAGGTTCCAGAAGCAAATAAAATCAATGTGGTTCTGGCTCTCAGGGAACCTACAGTCTGGGAGTACTCGTGTTTTCTACTTTGACTCAAATTCTGGACTCTTCCATTATTTTTTAAAATGACTTTTTAAAAAAGACAAGTTCTTGCTCTGTTGCCCAGGCTGGAGTACAGTGGCACAATCATGGTTCACCACAGCCTCGACCTCCTGGGCTCAAGAGATCCCCCTGCCTCAGTCCCACAAGTAGCTGGGATCATAGGCACGCACTGCCACACCTGGATAATTTTTAAATTTTTTGTAGAGATGGTGGTCTTGCCATGTTGCCCAGGTGGGTCTCAAACTCCTGGGCTCAGGTGATTCTCGTGCCTCAGCCTCCTAAAGTGCTGGGATTATAGGCGTGAGCCACCTTGCTCAGCCAAATTATGTTCTTACCCTCTAAAAATTCTACTTGTTCCTTCTTCAAACAAACAAACAAAAAAGACAGCAGGAAGAAACACTTTATTTATATACTTATTTTTGAGTCATAAAACCTGGATTTTCATTCTAGCTCTCCTTATTAGCTTTGTGATCTTGGGAAAATCAGTTAACCTCCTTTATCTTCCATGGTCTCCTCCTCCTCAGAGAAATAGGCGTGTAATACCTGCTCTTCCTGCTTCCCAGGACTGTTGGAATCATTGTTGTTCTCTAACCCCCACTTTCTGGGCAGCACCTTCTCCCCTACCTTGCTGACTGGTCCTGAAGGGGAGGCTCTTCCTATTCCCTTCCCCATTGCTTTGCCCTTGTATCCACTCATCCTCCTCTCTCCCCTCTCTAGGAGAGACGTTTCAGAGTCCTTGCCTCCTTCACCATGCCGGTTGCCGCCACCAACTCTGAGTCTGGTAAGAAGTGGGTGAGGATGTTAGCTTATTTCAGTGGTTCAGAGGGTGCCAGTCAAGGACTTAGGGGTGGGCACTTGCACAGGTCCAGATAAGGACCAACTGGCTCCACTGCTCTTCCATCCTACCACTCAGCCATTCCTTCTGGCAGCTGCTGTGGCCATCTCCTCTGTGTGGGTTCCTGTGCTGGAACGGAGAAGAGAAGGAATAAGACCCGTACCTGCTCCCCAGCTCCAGTGTAGGGCTGGAGCACAACTCACTTCTGTGGAAGGCAGGGGATGCATGCTCCAGAGGTGACCCGTACTATTGCTGGAGGGCAGTGGCATGGGACCAGGGCTTCAGGAGGTGGCCTGGGAGCTGGGCCTTGGAGAATGGCTTGGGGATGGAGGGATTACAGCAATACAGCCTGGGGCTGAGAAGTCCATAATCACTGCCCACTAGGCCAGCATGTGCCACAGGTGGACAGGTGGTACTGGGGGCCAGGAAGCTCTGAGTGAAGGAACGAGAATACCAGGTCAGGATACCTGGGCATGGCTCTGTAGGAGGCATTAGGACAAGGGAATGGGCCATTCAGATAAACTAGCAAAGCCTCAGTAGCAAACTGCTTAACCTCTTGGAGCTCACATTTCCTCTTCTGTGAAGAGGCTGCTGTGAGACGCAAAGGCTGTGATGGGAGAGCACATTACTTTTAGGAATAGTCATACTTATTATACTGCTGTTGCTGCCACTGCCACCAAGTTGTTATTGTTGTTTTTAAGACAAAGTCTGGCTCTTTAGCTTAGGCTGGAGTGCAGTGGTGCAAGCTTGGCTCACTGCAACCTCTACCTACCAGCCTCAAGCCATTCTTCTACCTCAGCCTCCCGAGTAGCTGGGACTATAGGTGTGCACCACCATGCTGAGCTAATTTTTGTATTTTTTGTAAAGACAAAAATGTTGCCCAGGCTGGTCTCAAACTCCTGAGCTCAAGTGTTCCACCTGCCTCAACCTCCCAAAGTACTGGGAATTCAGGTGTGAGCCACTGTGCCTGGCCTGAGTTGTTATTTTGGCATTAACCCTGTGTCCTTGAAACAGTCACCTCCCTTTGAAGACCTGAGAATTCCCTAAGATGAGATGATGGGACAAGATCAGTGTTCTTAACTTTTTTTTTTTTTTTTTTTGAGACGGAGTCTTGCTCTGTTGCTCAGGCTGGAGGGCAGTGGTGGGATCTTGGCTCACTGCAACCTTCGCATCCCAGGTTCAAGTGATTCTCCTCCCTCAGCCTCCCGAGTAGCTGGGATTACAGGCACCCATCATAATGCCCAGCTAATTTTTGTATTTTTGTAGAGATGGGGTTTTACCATGTTGGCTAGGCTGTCTCAATCCCCTGACCTCAGGTGATCCACCCACCTTGGCCTCCCAAAGTGCTGGGATTACAGGTGTGAGCCACCGCACCTGGCCTGTTCTTAACTTTTATTGGTCCTGAGTCACTTAGAATCTGGTGACAGCAGTGAGCCCTCATCGTAGACATATGCATCCATGCACAAAAGGTACATGCCACTCTAGGAGCTCATGGATTCCTGTAGTGCACGCAGGACCCCAGAAGGTTGAGTTCCCTGTGCTAGAGGCTCTCTGAGTCCTGGGCAGCTGGGAATTGCTATGGTTCTGCTCTTGAGTTGTCTGAACTTCCCCCTGCCTGGATGCCTCCCTCCCATGCAGCTCCTTCCCTTGCTCGAGGCCCCGCTACTGCCTCTGCTAGAGGTTCCAGGGCTGCCACTTTGGGTAGAATGATTCCTCTGTCCCTCCTCTCCAAGAACGTGAAGGGAGTGAGCCAGGGTCTACACTGCGGCACACTTGTCCAGGAAAGGCCTCTTCTCCTTGCAGTGGAGGGATGGCACCAATGTCCCCAGCTTCTGCAGCATTGGAGGGCTCAGTTCCCCATCTCCTGTCCAGCCTGCTGGGCTCCCTGGGGTCTCCCCGCCTCTTTCAGCCTGCCTAGGCCCCACTGTAAGCTGCTTAGGGGTTAATTAAACCCACCCCTGAGCCCGTGCTTAATGGCCTGTCCATCGGGGCTGCCTAGTAAACCCATCAGTGGTGCCTGACTGGGGTGTAGGAGGAGGAGCAAGCCCAGCAATTTGGCTTCCTTGTTGCAGACCACTTGATGGGGGCGTGGTGGGGAGGATGGGGGACAGGGAGTGGAGCCTTGGGGTGTGGCAGTGGGTTTTGCTTCCTCAAAGGACTCCTGGGGCTCCTGCTCCCCTTCATGTTGTTCGAGGGGCTGCTTCTGGCTTCTCATATTCAAAGGAAGAAGTACAAAGTATTTCTCTTCCTTCAGGCAGCCTCTGTCCTATCCCGAGCTACATTAACTCCCAGCTTCAAAAATCTAATGCTGGGTTCTTCCCCTTATTATCTGGTGGTCATTATACTTCCCACAGGACAGAGAGACAGCTGTGTCCCTGCCTCTGAGTTCAGGCTCCCCTTCCCTCCTTCCCTGGGAGATCCCTGTCTTGGACTCTGTGAAGGGCAAAGCTAACAAGGTCCTTTTTCCGCCCTTCCCCATGGGTCAGTGTGGTTGTTGGAAGGGAGGGAAAAGGTATAAGTGTATTCTTCTTGCAGAGAGACCCCATATCTACTTTGGGTAAAGTCAGGGGCCCTTTTCCTGAGAGTTGGGAGATAAATGGGCAATGGCACTGGGCTGAGAGCTTAGAGATCCTGAACCTGGCATCTCCTGATCTGCAGCCTTGCTCCCTCTTCCGCTGTCACCAGATTCCCTTCCTTCTTTGGATCAAGACTGGGATCTGTGGCTGCTTTCAGGTGGAGCTGTCCCTTTAAATTTCTCCTCCATCCCTGGGTTACTGTCCTGGTGTGTAATTCTGCTGCCATGGAAACCCCAGGGGTGCAATGCGACCTGGTGCCACTCCTTGGGGAATGGCTGAGTGGAGGCTGCCGTACCCTGGTGGTGGCCTCTTGGGCACAAGATCTCAGAGGAATGGGGTCACCGGGGTGGAGCTGAATCCCTCCCTTCTGCCCACACTTTTCCCTGTGTGCAAATGTGTCCTCACTTTTCCTTTCTGGGGAACTGAGTTCCAAGATGCCTGACTTGCTTCCTGGGCATCACCCCCTACATCAAGGGGAAGAACTCATGGGAGATGGGGGAGGGGAAGAAGCTGCTGTGAGGCGAGGGGTAAGCAGGGCTGGGGCACCGTCCCTACCCACAGTGATGTCACCCCCCGCCCCCTGTATCCTGCCTCCCAGTGGCTGGCCGCGGGCTGGTGGGGGGAGGCGTTTGGGACTTGAGGTATTTGCCCCATGCCCGAGTGAGGCTGCCTCCCGGTGGAGGGGTGAGTCGTTCTTGGGGACTTCCTTCGATTGAGGGACCATTGTAAAGGAAGCAGGGCCTGGAGAGGGGACTGAGAGCAGAGGTCAGAGGGCATAGGCAGGAGGTGGTATGGGGTGTATCAGAGGAGGGACTTCTAGAAAAGAGGGTGCAGGGACAAGATGGGTCAAGACTTTTCTCCCTCGGGTCTCCTGAAGCTGGCTGTGAGGGGAGGGTCTCGGGGTACCGCGCCAGTCTTGAAGGGGCAGCATGCCTACCCCCTCCCCAAAACCTCCTGTTAGACGCCTCCTCCCCATCCCCACCGACACTGACATGCTGGGGATCGGGCCATCTGTGGGACTAGGGCTCCCTCCCACCACCTTTCTCCCACCCGGGTTACCGCCTGCTCTGCACCGCGCAGCGCCAGTCGGGGGCTTTAGCCAATCAGCAAGGCGATCACGGCAGCTGAGCCTTGCTATTGGCTGGTTCCTCAGAGGGTGCTCCCCGACTCCCGCCTTCTGTAGCCCCGGCAGGCTCTGGCTCGGGAGGCGGCAGACGGCAGTGTGGAGGACACTCCGGGAGTCCCCGGGGCTGGGGGCTGCCATGGCAGGCAGCCCAGGCAGCGGGGTCTCCTTGGAGGGTATATCCCTGGGCTCTTCTGAGGAAGCGGAGCTCCAGAGGGAAGGTAGGGAAGGGTGGGCCAGATGGGGGCGGGGCAGCTGGCCCCTTAGCCTACCTTCCTCCAGCAGAGTCGGGGCATGTGGGGAGGGTGGCCTGGGAGAGGTCATCTGAGGGCACCTTCAGGAGAGCTGTCCTGGGCAGAGGGCACCAACTCCCTTGGCTCAGTCCTCCCCTGGATAACTGACGGAGGGAATCTGGCATACCCTGACAGGGAGGGAAGGGTCCCTGCCCTGGCCTCTTTCAGAGCCCACTGGGGGCTTCGCAGGTCTCTGACCAATGCCAAGCCCTGGCCTGGGCAAGAGGGGTCTGAAGGGCAAGCTTGGCCTTTTTTTCTGGAGAAGGCAGGGAGCAGGAGGAGGAAGGAGATGGGAGTCCAGGAGTCCCTGAACCATCTCTGACAGCTCCAGTTCTAGTGCCCCCTCCTCTCCACTCCTGTTCCTTCCTGGAGGAGGGGAGCACTGACAGGAGCATTGAGAGGCGCCAGGGGTGCATCCTCCCCCGTCCTCCATGGCTTGGGTTCTGTTATGCAGATGTAGGCATAGGTGGCATGGTGGCAGAGTAATGATACCCCCTGCCCATCTCTGCCCCCAGCTGGGCACATTCTGCTTCTCACTTCCTTTCCCGGGAACTTGCCACAGCCTGGAACTCCCACCTCTGCCAGTGAGTGAAGGCAGCCCCGACCTCCGATCTCCGGGGCGTTGTTGCGGCCCAGCTGCAGGTGTTATCATGTCCTCTGTTATGCCCCATTCCGGGCTGAGAGTTTGCTTATCCCTGTGATGACTTGGTGTGACCTTGGCCTTTGGGTGCCCACAGTCATTCCAGGCCTCCAGTGCCTATTTCCCTAGCTCCTGCCAGCGTTCCAGGCTTCAGCTTTGACTTCCTATCATCCATGTTAATTTCTCAGTTATAGATCATTGCCACTCAGAGCTGAAGGGCCTGTAGTCATCATCTCGCCCAACCCATCCATCTTACAAGCAGGAAAGACTGAGGCCAGTGAGGGACAGTGACTTGTACAATGTCACACTGAATTAGTGATGCTTAGACTGGAGGCTCTGCAGGCCCCGGCTCCTGTGTGGCTGCCCGCTTGACTTTGGGCCTGTACTCAGGGACTTGCTCCAAGTACTGTCTGTCTCATCCTTAAGCCTGCCAGGTGCAGGTGGCTGAGTCCTGGGCTTCAGCCCATCTAGAGATTGAGTGAGGAACTTCTGGTTTTCTTTCCTTTTTCTTTTTTTTTGTTTTTTTAAGACAGTCTTATTTTTTAATTTTTATTTTATTTATTTGTTTGTTTGTTTTTCGAGACAGAGTCGCACTCTGTCGCCCAGGCTGGAGTGCAATGGTGCAATCTTGGCTCACTGCAAGCTCCGCCTCCCAGGTTCATGCCATTCTCCTGCCTCAGCTTCCTGAGTAGCTGGGACTACAGGCGCCCGCCACTATGCCCGGCTAATTTTTTTGTATTTTTAGTAGAGACGGGGTTTCACTGTGTTGGTCCAGATGGTCTCGATCTCCTGACCTCGTGATCCACCTACCTCAGTGTCCCAAAGTGCTGGGATTACAGGCGTGAGCCACTGCTCCCAGCCAGAGACAGTCTTGCTCTGCCACCCAGGTTGGAGTGCAGTGGCGTGATCTCAGCTCACTGCAATCTCTGCCTCAGCCTCCTGAGTAGCTAGAATTACAGACCTACACCACTATGCCTGGCTAATTTTGGTATTTTTAATAGAGATGGGGTTTTGCCTTGTTGCCCAGGCTGATCTCGAACTCCTGGCCTCAGGTGATCCACCCAACAGCTTGTGGTTTTCTGGTGCAGGGCAGGACCTGGAACCTGACACCTGCTTCCCTTTCTCCCTTCCTCCCACCTCAGAGTCCCTTCCAGCTGCCTGGAGCCTCCCACCTACTCAGGCTGGTGTTACCTAGGGTGGCGAGAACAGGCCAAGGAAACCGTCCCCTTCCTCAAGGACCCCTGTCCCAGGCATTCAAGGGCCTGGGGTGCCTGTGCTGGGCAGGGAGGGGAATGTTGTCGGGGAGGGGCTGTCTTCTGTGGGACATGGGGGTGGGGGAGTGGCAGGTATTGTGGTGTGTTTTAGTCTTCTGTACCCAGCTGGTACCTGTGTATCTCACTGCCCATACCTTCCCCCAGCCATGCAGCAAGTCCTGGACAACTTGGGATCCCTCCCGAATGCCACGGGGGCTGCAGAGCTGGACCTGATCTTCCTTCGAGGCATTATGGAAAGTCCCATAGTAAGATCCCTGGCCAAGGTACAGTGCTCCAGGGAGGTGGGCACAAGGGCACTGTGCCTGGGAAGGCACAGTAGGGGATGGGGTATTAGCTACAGAGGGCCCTGGGAATGGGGCATGTGGCACAAGAGGCCCCCCTGAAGGGGACTGTAGAAGAAAATCATGCCCAGGTGGTGACCTGAGTGGCTGCAGGTAGACGGGGCTGCCCTGGCACCTGTCTGGTGAGTGCGTGGGTGGATGTTTGGTGACCGCCAGCTTGTGGAGTGTATGATTGGTGTGGGCCAGCATGCACATGTTGGAGAACCTCTAGAATTCATCTTGCTTGTCCTTCTGCCTTTGGGCATTTTGTGTGCATGTCTTTCTAAGGTCACCTGCTATGTGTCAGGTTGGGGAGAGATTCACTGAAAGAGAAAATTATAGGACAATTTGATAATGACAGTGATAGAGGTGGATACACTAGGCATTTTGGGAGCATAAAGTACAGATGCCTAACCCAGCCTGGGGTGGGCAAGGAGGCCTTCCTGGAGGAAGGAACACTTGAGCTGAGTGAAAGAATGAGGAAGAGGGGGAGGGCATTCTGGGCCACAGAAGAGCTTGAGCAGAAGCACAGAGGTAAGAAAAAGTCAGGAGTGTGCAGGGGATTGGAAGTGCTGGTGTGAGGCTGAGCCTCAAGCGTGAGACAATGCGAGCTGTGCAAAGGTTGGGGGCTGTGTGTAGGTGCTTGGGCATCCTTCTGTGAGTGTCGTGAGTATCAGGGAGGCTTTACGTGTGTGTTTTTTGTTTTGTTTTGTTTTGTTTTTGAGACAGAATTTTGTTCTTGTTGCACAGGCTGGAGTACAATGGCATGATCTTGACTCACTGCAACCTCCATCTCCTGAGTTCAAGTGATTCTTCTGCCTCAGCCTCCCAAGTAGCTGGGATTACAGGCATGTGCCACCATGCCCAGCTAATTTTGTA